TTACACCTGATCTTGCGATCTTCATAAGAAAATTTCCTTATTTGGTTTGTATCACCGGCGCAAATAAGTGTACGCCCATTCGATTTGTCTCATCAAGACGAATCGAACAGTACCAAAATCATGTGATTCTGATCGATAGTTCTCAAGACACTCCATTTAACTAAAAAAACCTAAGGTAGATATGCCTAATTTGACGCAGGTAAATGTTTACGATAAATATCATGTGGTGTATTGATCAGAATCGCAAGATTTTGATACCATTCGATAGGACGAATCTGATTCTGATTATCACTATTTTCGAAATAGTTGAAAATGGCCAATAAAATTTTTTTTTGGTGAACACACGAACACTCGAACACTCGATTACCTTAGCACGTTGATTGAAGGTTGATTCTCGGTTTACGTAAATCGGGTATTATGTGCTAAAGTAATCGAGTGTTCGTGTGTTCACCAAAAAAAAAAAAAATTATTTGCCATTTTCAACCATTTCGAAAACAGAGATAATACATCACATAAATTTATTGTAAACGTTTACCTGCGTCAAATTAGGCAATATATCAAATTAGGAACATATTGTTTAGACAACCTTAATAAGTGATATCTCATGATTTAGTGATTAGAATTGGATGATTTTGGTACCATTCGATTCGTCTCGATGAGATGAACCGAAAGATACTGTACTAAAATCATCCAGTTCTGATCGATATATCATGTGATATTTATCGAAACGTTACCTGCGTCAAATAGACATATCTACCTTACGTATTATTCTTGACGTATTATTTCTATTCAAAGAGATTAAGAAATTTGTTTTCAATGTGCTATCAGTTTATGCATAATCTTTATGCAGAGATTGAGGTTTTCAAATTCCGGCACCATACGTAACTGTATTTAATGATTTACTATGATCAGTTACAAACATTCGTTTCACTTATATACTTGAAAAGCCTTATTGATTGTGACATGTTTTATTGTTTCCGAAAAAAACCCAAAAACATCGAATAGGCTAATATGCGCAGTGCACGGTATACGTACGCACATATCAGATATCAGTGCAACTATTAACGCTATACGAATATATACAAATATTACATAAGTGAGTATTTATGTGGAGGAAAAAATATATACGTGTTTAATACTAGGAAGTATGTAGTTCTTCGTAATTCTTCGGTTATAGATGATTCTGTGTGACTTCACACTTATATAAACCTTGGATAAATTCCATTCATTCTTTATTCAAGCTCTCCAAGGATCTAGTAAAGCTTTTGATCCCTTTGTTCATAAACATAAACCTCATGAGGGACAAATACGTGTAGCAAGTAAAATGACAGAATTAATTTATGGTTCAAAATTCTTAGATGATAACGTTAGCTCAATGAAAGGAAATGCAACCAAGATCGTTATTCGATAAGATGTTTACCTCAATATTTAGGAGTAATTGCTGATAATATCACCCAAGTAAAAGGTATGTAGAAACAGAAATAAACTCAGCCACTGATAATCCATTAGTTGATACCGACCAACAAACAGTTGTTCATTCAGGAAACTTTCTAGGACAATATATTGCCTTTTCAATGGATCAATTAAAACATAGTTTGGGTCTTATAGCAAAACATATTGATACACAAATCGCATTATTAGTATCACCAGAATTTAACAATAATAATCTACCTCCATCATTAATTGAAAATCCTAAAAATAATATTCAATTTGGACTTAAAGGTTTACAAATTTGTGCTAATTCTATAATGCCTATTTTACTTCATCAAGGGAATCCTATCACACATTTATATCCAACACATGCCGAACAATATAATCAAAATATAAATAGTCAATGTTTTGCATCAGCCAATCTTACTTGGAATTCTATTGAAATAATGAAGCATTATTTGGCAGTTTCTTTAATATTTGCAGTTCAATCAATTGAATTAAAAACTTTTACCAATTTTCAAAATTATAATACTCAAGTTTACTTATCATCTAAATTACTTCCACTTTATAAAACTATATATGAAATTCTTGGCTGTGAAATTTCAGAACAAAAACCTTTGATTCGTCACAATTATGAACAATCTTTAGATTCTTATGTTCATAAACTTGTAAATGATTTAAATGACCCTAACGGATCTATCTTAAAAAGCTTATGGTTTTGATAAAATTTAAATTTTATACTGTACTATATAAATAGGTTGTATAAGTAGGATATTGTGCAAGTAGATTGTATTAGTAGAATACTGTATAAGTGAGTTATATAAGTAGGATACTATATAAGTAGGTTTTAGTAGCTTTATATCATATCCTAAATTGAGCATTAATCGTAACATTAAATATATGTCAAATTTACAGTTACATAAATTGATTGTTAGTTTTTATGGAGAAAATGACTATCTACATCTACAATAATCTTATTCATTCTATTATATTTTAATGTTGTAATCGAAATTATTAGAAAATAAAGAAAAAGATAATAAAAATTATATGATGATAATAAACGACTGAATAGTAAATAATATCCAAAAAAAAGTTACAGTCTAAACCGTATAAACGGACGCAAAATTTTAACTTTCAGTACGTGATATAATTAAATGTAATATCTTCGATCAAAATTACTATGAACAATTGTAACTCAAGTTCCTGAAAGTCATTTAACAGAATTCTGGCAGATTTAGTTCTCGTATGAGCGAAAGTAAATCATTTTTGCGTTTATTTAAACTAAAAATTTAATCAATCATATACGAAATTTTGTGTGATCTTTGAATTTAAAAGTGATAGCTTGATCAATAAATTTTTTCGTTCAAGTTACGTACTTATCGGTTTTTAAATACATATTCTAGTTCAGTAACTCTCACCAAATTTTTATATAGTTATAGATTCTCAATTCTGACTGTACGTTTTCGCTCATATGTTCCTGGAAAAATGGATTTTGAAAATCATATACAATTACCTTATTGAATTTATGAAGTATGATATCAAATCAGGTGAAAATGTCGAAGCTCTTTGAGAGTATCATCGAATAAAATCTTCATTATAAAGCGAAGATTAAGGGTCTTGCAGTTCAAGATACCTGAATTGATTAATAAAAAACAACTAATCTATTTCAGTCTTATTTTAAATTTTTTATTTATAAGTTGTGCAAACATGGAAATTCAAATATCAAATACTTACTATTCAAATAATTCTTTTATTGAATTCTTATTGCATCTTTGTTCTCTGATTTTAAAAATGTTAATATTAAAACTTTGAAATATATGTTTCACAACATAGTAAAGATTATTAGAGGATACAAAGTTAACTGCAAATCACACAAATTATATGCTAAGGTGGTCACTCTGTGGTCATTTATCAAATAAATTCCACTAATCCTAAACTGAATATGACCCTAACGCTAATCCAAACTTGACAATAATGTCGATGCATTACTTAAATTTTCCTAAAAGAAATTATTTAAAAAATTATTTCTCAAGCGTATACAGAAAAGAAAATTGTCTCCAAGTCGCTTCTACTTGAATTATTATTATTATTTATAAATCACTTGTATTTAAATTTAGATATGTACATAACCAATTTTTGGACGATGTTAAAGAAAGAGCTTGGATCCGGTTATCCGTTGGATGCAAATTTATAAATCACTTGTATTTAAATTTAGATATGTACATAACCAATTTTTGGACGATGTTAAAGATAGAGCTTGGATCCGGTTATCCGTTGGATGCAAATATAATAGTAAAATCCGTCGAAAATCCGTTAAATTTAATATGAAAACGGATCCAAGCTCTAGTTAAAGAGGTACTAATCCTAAATCAAGATGGAAAAAATTTAGTGTGACCCTTTGATTAAGGGTCTTTTTTAGCAATCGCTTTTTTTGTCAATCAATGAAGATGAAACTTTATTAGCGTAGTTTCCATATATGGATGCGCAAAATAAGCAGTAATTAGTAACTAATTGTCTAATCTGTTTCAAGCACAGGACGCTACGCATGATGAAAAGTAATTGTTCTGAGAAAAAACGGATAAGCTCTTCAAAAAAACTTGATTGTATTGGTCAATTATCATGTGTTATTGCTATAAAGATTTTATATAAATTATATAATCGTTATACGTATACTGTATGTTCTTGTTACACAATCCGAAGATATCCGAAGTCGGGTACATCACGAGACTGCTTGGGCCAATCAGATTCCTAACTTAATAAGGATGATAGTAATACGTATCGGGTAATCCCGTGATTTATTGGGCTTCAGCACCCTCTAAATTTGTCAGACACGCGATTGCATAAAACTAAAAACCAATAAAAAGTACTAATGCTTTATGTATGACATGTACATGGCCAAATTTAAACTCTGTTTAAAAACTTTTAAATCCGCAATACATAAGAAAACATCATTAAAAAAAAACCAGGATGTCCTTTTCGGATAGTTTCCCCTTACCTTATAGAGTTCTCATAATTATTACCGTCGGACTTTGGGCTTGGGGTACTAATCTGCAAATACTTTCATGGGCATCTATAGACGCACATGCTCTCTTAACCGGTGATAGAAAAAAATATCCTCATTATAAACCCGTTTATAAGTTAGCTCTATTTATGACTACATGGGTTTCATTATGTCTATTTGCATATTGGCAAAATGAATGGACTTCGATAATATTATTTTGTTATTTATTCATCTTTCTCATTATGCTATGTCCGCTCGACGTTTTATATAAAAATGAAAGAATGCGTTTTATTAGGTAACTGTGCGGCTACATCTGATGTCACAAAACCGTCAAACTAATAAATTCTATTATGATTTATGAATAGATGTTTACAAAAGGTAGCGTTTTCTGGGCTCGATTCGGAAGTCCATCTTTGTGACAAAATATTGGCTGATATAATGACAAGTTATGCAAAAGTATTTGGTGATTTGTATGTGACTATGTGTATGTTATTTATTTATGGAATCAAAGAAAGCTCTAGAGATAAATGTTATGCTAATGTGATCGCTCCTTTATTCACAAGGTAAGCTTTAAATTTAGTTTTACGGTATGTTGGTTTATGATCTATTAAAACCTGTATCTGATATTCAGCGTCCCTGGCCAAATGTCATTATAAAAGCTTTCCGTACTTTATTCGATTAAAACAGTGTATTGTAGAGTACCTATATCCCAAAGAATCTAAAAAAGCAAACCGAGAACATTTATTTAATGCCCTCAAGTATTGTTCTGCTTTTCCTGTAATATTGTTTTCCGCATTACAAAATTGGTATTATTTCGAAAATGATTATTTCGAAAATGATGGTGGTTTATCGGCCAGTTGGATTACTTCATCAACCATATTTGATTTATGGTAAATATCTTTGAAGTCTTTTTTGATTCAAAATTATAGTAACTTATATTATGAATTTTTTCAGGATTATTGCCGTTGCAGTCAATTCAATATATTCTTTTTATTGGGATGTTGCAATAGATTGGAAGGTAATATAATAATAGTATTCTTAATTATTTTTGCTTTTTTAATTACTTTTTTTTTTTAATAAAAAAAAACATTTATCTTTCATTTTTTAAGCTCGCATTTTTCACTTCGGCATCTCCTCATTCTTTATTGCCCAGCTTTAAACTTCGTTCAAACTTGCGCTTCGAAAAGTCCTTGTATTATATTGCCATAGTTCTTAATTTTTTGCTTCGATTTACATGGTCATTAAAACTTTCTTCACACTTACATATTACCAATTATTTGGAATCTATATTTTTAATGGAATGTTTGGAAATTACTAGGCGTTGGCTATGGATATTTTTTAGATTAGAGAGTGAATGGATTGAAACTGAAAAACCTACATATATACCTCTTGCAAATACCTCTTGACAATGCGTAGTAACAAAAGTCTATTATTCAAGAGGTTTATTCAACCATTCTCTTTTGTCAAATTTTAATATTAATTTGTTTCAATTTATAGTATTTTTTTAAAAAAAAACAATTAACACAACTTTATCAAATTCATACCAACATTCATGTGTAAGTTATTTAATAGATTTTTTTCTTATAATAGAACATCAAATATCTGAGTGTCTAATGATATGCAGGTATTATCATCGTTTATTTTTTTATTAAGGATTGTTATAATTTGGTTAGAATTATTTTTCCTTTGTTTCTTTATTAGCTAAGTATAATATTAGAATTTTATTTTAAAAACTTTAATTATCATATAATATTTATAGTTCTATTAAATCTAGACTTTTGGTTTTAAAAGATTTTTTTATTCGACTTATTGAAAAAGTATTACTAATATTCATTTGCATAGTATGGAAAATTTCAACTTTTTTATGTTGTAGTTATTTAAATGTATTCGCAAGATTATTTGTATTATACATTTATAAATGAATTAAATTAAATTATATTAATTTTGAAAAAATTTAAACACATAATCATTGCTTATTGGTATTTTATTTTTATTAGTGCCAGGTTTTAAAATTAGTAGTAAACAAAATTTTCATTGAATATTTTTGTCAGAATATCTCTTAAAAAACACCTACTACCGGTTCACATGATTTTACGTCCACCAAAGATTATTTACTTTTTTCTCGTGTTTAATTCGTCGAATCAAGAATGTGTAGAATTCACTTAAAGAATTTTTTTTTCATCAGGCTGTTACCTAAACGTTTTTTTAAACTCTGCCGTCTCTGAATATGTAATGAATGAAAAATAATTCATGCCAGCTAAAAGTATTCAATTATAGCCATTCATGCTTCTTAAAATTCTATATGTTAAGTTCTCTACCGTTTTGTTGATAAAATTAACTTTGTAAGTATAAATAATAAAAAAATATTATTATTATTAGACAAAATAAAAAATATGATTTTCTTTCAGTATCTCTTCTCTCAAAGTATTTAAATTACAATTTCGTTTCTTTATAATTGATTACAAATCCTCAATTATAAAATTAGCTAATATTGTATAGTGAATAAATAATAACAAAATTTCGTATTTATATTGACACTTTGAAATAGAATTTATAAAATTTTCTTAATATTTTGAGAGAAAATTGTGCTATAACATTGTATTAAATCCCTTTAAGTTTTAGGGCTTTAACACGTTCAAAAATTCGCAACATGTTTGTAATTTATGCACGGTTTGAAATATAAAAGATATATATACTGTAATAAATGTCCATAAGTAAAAG